TTCCCTGTCCCATCAGCCCACGGTACGGTCACGATCACCATGCACTCTTGTTGTGACAAAGCAAAACAGCACGGGGGATGTAGCGGAGGGCCGGCCCACACTTGGTCACTGTATTTGAAGATGTGCACAAAGAGACACGTGGCATAGTTACAGAGAATAATGCTGAGCAGACACGTGCCCTTGACTTGCTGCCCCAGGGCCTGCCGGGAAGACGATCTGCAGGTCATCTTGCTTGCCTGCCCACTCTGGAACCTGGTATTCAGGGGTACGCCTGTGGCCCCGAAGCCACCCCTTGCTTCTACCTCACTGGCATCCATGTCCCCAGCCACGAGGCACAGGCTGATGGAGGCTGGCATGCATGTCCTCAGGGTGGCAGGGTCAGGCCCTGGGAAGCGCTGGCTGAAAGGGGTGGTGGTGGCTGGGGGATGGTGGTGACAGCTTCCAGGTCTACCCGGCGCAGCCTGGCCCACTGCAGGGGCTGCAGGCCACTGCCCCGCACGCTCCAGGTTGCTTGTCCCAGGGCCACCCACAGTCTGTCCAGGCAGCGGACCAGCAGGGACATGGCCACCTGCCGCAGCACCATGTGCAACAGCAGCTCCAGGGCCTTGCTGTTCTCATGACGGACGTCAGCCAGGCTGTAGTAGGCCCACTGGGCCATGGAGACCTCTGCCCGCAGGTGCTGCAGTAGCCACAGGAGGCAGCCCCGGGCTCCGTGGAGCAGCTGAATGCTCCAGGCATGTGTGGTGGTTAGCAGCTGCCACAAGGTCCACTGGACAGGCAGCTACAGGCAGGACTGCCAGGGCAGGATAGGGAGCAGTGCCCGGCCAAGCACCAGACTGCCACGCCACAGCATGCAGAGGCCCAGCATGGCGATGGAGAGGCAGTGCCAGGCCACACTAGCTGCCTCAGCCTGCAGCCCCAGTAGGGGCGCAGAGATGGACAGGAGCTGCCAAGTACCCTGGCCCAGCCGGCTCCTGCCCTGCAGGGCATGCCCCCAGCAGCTGGCAGTGGTTTGGGTAGGGGTCCCTCATGACCCACACACTCTGTGCCCAGGCTCCCGTCCAGGGGGCATAGGGTGGTATTCATTCCACAAGCCCATAGCAACTGGCTCTCTGTGCCCAGGACCCTGGCCCCCAGGCCTGGTGGTTTGCAACAATCAGTGACAACACAAAAGCTCAGGGTGTGAGCACGTGGCAGAAAGAGGCCATTATTGCTTTGCCAGGCAAGGCAGGTAGCATTGGAAAGGAAGATGAGGAACTCAGCAGGTGGGGAGGTGGGGGGACAGTGGCTCCTGCACAGGGTGTGTGACCAGCAAAGCACAAGTTCCCGTAGGGCGCCTGGTGGCTCATCCCCATGAGATCCCACCTGGCAGCTACAGGGGCGCCAGGTCTTAAGCTGTGCTTAGACTGCTAAAGGAAGTCAGGCTTTTTTCCTTCTGGGGTACTTAACACCAGCATGGGGTTTGACATTTTCAGCCTTGGGTATTTTCTTTTCTTTTCTTTTTTTAATACTTGAAAGGCAGAGTTAGAGATATCTGTATTTTTTAAATTATTTATTTTTATTGGAAAGTCAGATATACAGAGAGGAGGAGAAACAGAGAGGAAGATCTTCCATCCACTTATTCACTCCCCAAGTGGCCAAAATAGTCAGAGCTTGGAGTAAAGGAGAGTGTGAGTCAGGGTGCTTCCTAGGGGCAGCCAAGCTAACTGCCTGTACATGGGTAGGGAACGCTGGCCTTACTGTCTTTATCTACAACATACAGTTTGTAAAGACAGCTGAAGGACACCGACAGAGCATGTGACAGGCTCAGTCCTGGCGCCTTCCAAAGCCCTGGAGAGTCCCTCACCTTTGCAGCGCCCCCCTCTGGCAGCCACTGCCACTGCAGACTTGAATCTTCCCATGTGCCATTTGCATTTCCTTACTGGAGACACAGTACCCAGCTGCTGAATCACTCCCCAGCTGTTCATAGTGGCTGGAGCTGGGAGCCAGGAACCCAATCCAGGTCTCCCACATGGGTGGCAAGGGTGGTTGCCCTCACTGGAGCCACTGTGGTATGGTGGTCACAATACCACCTGGGACCTGTGGGACCCTCACATCCTGTATCAGGGCTCCTAGTTTGAGTCCTGGCTGCTCCACTTCTGCTCCAGCTCCCTGCCCGTGCAGACCCTGGAAGGCAGCAGGTGATGGCGTCAAGCATGTGCGCCTCCACCACCCGCCTGGGACACGTGCATGGACTTCTGGGCTTCCTGGCTTTGACCTTGGAATTAGGGGAGTGAAGGAGCAAATAGGGGATCTGTCTCTCATGTCCAAATGAAATAAATGCACAAATCAACCAAACTTTGAGAAAAAAATTTAAAAGACCGATCAGGGTTAATGTTAAGCTACAGCCTGCAGTGCCAGCATCCTATAGGGGCACTGGTTTAAGACCTGATGCTCCACTTCCGATCCAGCTCTGTTATGGCCGGGGAAAGCAGCAGAGGTGCTTGGCCCCTGCATTTGTGTGGGAGACCTGGATGAAGCTCTTGGTTCCTGCCTTTAGCGTGACCCAGCCACAGCCATTGTGGACTGCGTGAGAAGTGAGCCAGCCGATGGATGCATCTCTCTCTCTCTTATTCCTTCTCTTTAGCACCAATTTTCAAGTAAATATTTTTTAATCTGATTCAGGAGTTGAAACCAAGTCTCTGCAGAGGGCTCCAGGGCGCCAGGCTTTTTTTTTTATCTAACCCACACCTTACCATGCTAGGCTAGCTTTCACACTGTGATCAAGGGCCTCTCTGCTTTACCCAGCACCAAGCACATAGTGTGACTTGCTAAGTACCTGTGGATGCACATGACATGCTCCTATATTGTGCCAGACACAGAGATGGTGGGCGGCAACTGGCTCACAGCCCCTCGGCTCCCTAGGCGAAGAAGCTGAGTTCACGGCAGATCGAGGGGCAGCCCTGTCTTGGGAAGGGGTCCACCCTGCTCAGCACCGGAGCAGCTTACTACCAGGTTGGCCTGCAGCCCCAGTCGTTGCCTGAGCATTCATTTGTGGATGGGAGCAGCTTATAGCTGAGCCAAAGGTCATTCATTCATTCCATGAATCAAAAGAGCCTGAGAAAGGCCCGATCAGGCTTTGTCCGTAACAGGAAGTATACCATCAGGGCAGCCTGTCAGTCCCCAGAGTTCCCTCAAAGGGCCTTGCAGACTGTAACACACAAAAAGAACTGGGGCTGGCATTGTGCTGTAGTGTATCAAGTATCCCCTGCAATGCCAGCATCCCATATGGGCACCAGTTCAAATCCTGGCTGCTCCAATCCCGCTCCTCATTAATGGCCCAAGTTCTGGGCCCTGCCGGCCACACGGGAAATCTGGAAGAAACTCCTGGCTCCTGGCTTCAGCCTGGCTCAACCCTGGCCCGCTCTAGTTACTTAGGGAGTGCAGCAGCAGATGGAAGATCTCTTTCTGTGTCCCTCTGTGCCTACAACTTCGACTTTCAAATAAATCATTCTTTAAAAAAAATCAGGCACTTTGCTAATATATGGTTTCTGGGGCAAAGCATTTGGTATGATTAAGACGCCACTAATGTCTGCACTCGGAACAGCGTGCCTGTAATATATATGTATATTACAGATTTTACAGAGAGGAAGCTCTTCTGTCTGCCAACTCATTCTCCAAATAGCCACAATGGCCAGGGCTGAGCTGCTCTGAAGCCAGGAGCCAGGGACTTCCTCCAGGTCTCCTCTTGGGGGTGCAGGGTCCCAAAGCTTTGGGCCGACCTTGACTGCTTTCCCAGGCCACAAGCAGGGAGCTGGATGGAAGTGGAGCTGTCGGGATTAGAACCAGCGCCCACATGGGATGCTGGTGTTTGCAGGTGAAGGAGTAGCCTGTTGAGCCACTGAACTGGCACCTCAAGGTTCTGAATTTGAAGAAATCCGGTGCATCAATTGGTACTTTGATGGATCCCGCTCTTGACTTTGTGGTGACAGAGTAGCCGTCCAGGACATCCACTAGAGGGAATGAGGGAACCGCTGAGCCGTTAGCCTGGGTCCTGGCCGGCAGCCAGCATTCCGGACACGTGTCTACCTCCTGACTGAGAGCGCCCCGGGGCCCACCGTGCACTTCCTCCGCACAGATCTGGGGTCCTGCGGCTAAAGGGGAAAACAGGAAAGCTAAGCCGGCTGCTCAGATCCTGTGTTCATTCTTCAGTGATTTTACCCATTTTAAGGGCAGGGAGAAAGCACTTACATCAACTAGTTCATTCTCCTAATGCCACAGCCAGGAGCCAGGAGCTTCATCCGAATCTCCCACGTGGGTGCAGGAACCCAAAGATTTGGGTCATCTTTCCCTGCCAAACGTAGCAGGAGTTTTCCCCTCCTGACCTCACTGTGAGCTGTGTGCCGGGGTGGTGGCGGGGCTGGAGCTAAACCCAGGTCCTTGGATTCAGCAGGAGGGGACGATGAACGCGTGGTTACAGAACCTAGTCCCTGGGTGAAGGAAAGCAGCCCCTACTGGGGTGGGGAAAGGGATTCTCATTCAGAACTTCCTGCCCTCCGGTGGCCTCTGCGCCAGGGACGGCCGGGGGCGAGGGTGCCCTCCCCCTCCCGCGACACAGGGACACTCATGACGTCACCGTGGGACCTCGTGGAGAGGTGGTCCCGGTAGCCGGGTGCCCCCTTGGAGGTTTCTCAGGGGTTTTTCATTCTTTCGACCAACAGCCCCGCGGCACCTGCCAGGGGCGCAGACGCAGCTCGCATCCTCTGGCTCTAATTGGGGCAAACGCAGGAAATAACGCAGCTGTGCAGCGCGGACACGGCGGCCGGCCGCTGGCCTCAGCGTCCTACACCTGCCGCCCCCGCCCGCCTCCTTCCGTGCGGGAGAAGAGGTCACCGCGCCAGCGACGGGCGCGCCCCCGCCGACAGCCCCGCGTGCCGCGCGCGCCCGCGCTTCGCGGGAGCCCCGGGCGCGCGCCGGGGAGGGGGCGGGGGCGCAGCGCACGCGCACGGACCGGCGGCGCGCGCCGAGTAGGGGGCACCGCGCGGGTGCAGCCACGATGGAAGGGGGTGCGTACGGAGCGGGCAAAGCCGGGGGCGCCTTCGACCCCTACACCCTGGTCCGACAGCCGCACACCATCCTGCGCGTCGTGTCTTGGGTAAGGACGGACCTGGCGCGCGGAGCGGAGCGGGGGTGGAGTCGGCCGAGCTGCGACGGCGGCGGTGTGGTGTGTGTTTGTGGGGGGCTGTGGGCTAGGGCCGCGCGCCCCGACCGACCCCGACCCCACCCCGGCCCCGGGTGCGGGCGCAGCGGCGGCGGGCGGGCGTGCGGAAGGCGGCTCTTAGCCACGGAGCCCTCGCCTGCGCCCGCGGCTTCCTCCTGCCCTGCTGCGGGGCTCGGGGACGGGAGCTCTCGGTCGCGGGGGTCGTGGGCTCCGAGAGCCGCTGCTTCCGGGGGACACCCCCGCCCCGGTTCTCCGCTGCCGACCTCGTCGCCTGCACCCTCGAGCCGCGCGTCTATGCAGCTAGCGTCCCAGGTTGCGGACTAGCGACCATAGGGACGCTGCCTAGATCTTAAATGACCCTTTCATGTGGGGGCGGGGGGACGTCGGGATGTGGATCCTGAGGCGGACGTTGGAGGGAGTGAGGCCCGGGGGTGGGGGTGGGGGTACCCGGCCGTGTTCCTGGGCAGCGCTAGTGGGCATGCGGGTCCCTCCCTGGTGTTCTCCCAGGAGCTGCCTTTCCTTCCTGGTGTGACCTTGGGTTGGCCACCACCCAAGAAATGTTCACAAGAAGGGGGGACATTCACCTCCCAGGTGCCTAGCTCCTGTCTCTGCCTCAGTCTCCCCCCATCAGAGGAGGGTTTGGAGACCCACCTGGGCTGCAACATCTCATCACTTCGCGGCATCCCCCATCCACCAGGGCGCCCTGTGTGTGGGGGGTACCTGGGAGACAAGACCCTCCTTCAGTGAGGAGGTGAGGGAGCCCGACTCTGGAGCTCTGGACCTGCAGCCCCCAGACAGGGCAGAGCCCCCGGAGCAGATGGGAGAGGGTCGACCAGAGACCATGAGCATCAGGATGGGCTCAGGTGGTGTCGGCCAGGAGCTGCCTGGGGCAGGCTGTCATTGCCCAGGCTCCCTGGCTTCAGGGGTGCTTTCTTCTGTTGGCCTGGGGCCCACCCCAGATAAACATAGACCAGGAAGCTGGGACACTGTGCAGGAGGCCGCAGCACCTGCTCCCCAGCTGTTAGGGGACCTGTCAAGATCCTCCAGCTGGGGTGGCTCCCCAAGCCTTTATCTTGGCACCTTCCATCCTGGTCCTGGGGCCCAGGAGGGGAGTGTTGTGCTCATATGCTGGCACCCGGGCACCTTCATGAGGATGTGAGGCTCACGACTCACCCATCTGCCAGTCGCCAGTTCCCCCAGAAGCAAACTCAGGACCTTGGCAAGAGCGAGGTCCCTGACCAGGGAATTTGGGGGATGCCTGGCTGTGCCTGGGCCCTGAGTGGGCCAGACTTCTGGTGTGCTGGGGGCGTGGGTGTGCTGGCAGGTTGGGCGTGTTGCTACTGCCGCCTGGCATGGCTTCATTTAGCTGAGCCTGATTGAGTCTGCTGGCCCCACGGGAGGGCAGTGTGTCTCGGATGCAGGCCTGTGTGCCCTGGGGAGCCCGCAGCCCCTCTGCCGAGTGAGCCAGGGACCCAGAGGCTTCCAGAGCCCAGGGTTGGCGTCTCTCCCCTATGCCATCAGAGAAGCTTTCATGGAAAGGGGGATGACTAATGAGGCCTGTTGTGGTGGGCAGGACTTATGGTTGTGTTTGGAGGATGGCCACTCTGGCATGGGTGCCTACTGTGTGCTGGGCCACCCAACACACCTGGGTGGGAGACTTCCTGTCCCCAAGGAGAGAGGGAACAGTGTGCAAACTTGGAATTCTAGGATACAAGGGTCATTTGGGCAGGCCCCCTACTCCCCACTCTCCAATACATGCAGCTTCCTGTCCTGCCTATATACCTGGGCACCTGGGCACAGGTGTTGGTACCTTCATGCAGGCAGCCCTTTGTAAAGCTGACCCTCTCTGGTGGTCAGAGCGCTGCCACTCCGCTCCCCGCAGTCATTGGGAAGTTTAGCTTGGTAGGTGGAAGCTGTACAGCTTGGCTGCCTCTCACCACTGCACTGTACCCCAGGAAACCGAGACATGGGTGACCTGTGCGTGTTTTACAATAGAAAAGAATTGGGGTGGAGGGGAGACCTTGTGTGAACCCGCGGTTGGGGAGGGCTGTAGTTGACGAGGTGTTGTGTCCAGCACTTGCCCCTGGCCGTACCCTTTCCCTCCCCAGGTCCATAGTTGGCTCTGGCCTGCAGTGGCTTCCTCATGGAGTTCCTGCAGCCTGAGCTCTGGGGTCCTTGGGGCTGGACCTTGCCATCTTCAGCCCCAAATGGTATGAGACAATCGTATTTTACCCTGAACTCAGACCCCTACTACAGCCCTGGAAGATATCCAGGACCCCGTGAGTCCAGAAAAAACCTTGGTTGACTGGAGGTCAGGAGCCAGCTCTGAGCTGCTGCCTCTGACCCGGGCAGAGCTGCCGGAGGACCAGGACTTTGGCTGCCACCAGGAGCAGCCGTGAGGACCTGGAGCAAGTGTCCCATCACGCCCAGGTGGGGCTCAGTCCCAGGTGGTCCAGCAGCTGCTCCTCTGTGTGTCTCAGAGTCAGAGGGGGTGCTGGCGCAGGAACGCAGTACACAGCTAGCTGAGCTTGAGATCCGGGCTTGTGGGCTGTCAGAAGGGTGCGGGTCTCTCCCACACAGACTGGATTCTCTCTTGCCCTGTCATCGGAGGAGGTGAGCCAGCTGCCCGCCACCCAGCCTCCTGGTGTGCAGGAGACAGACGCAGCAGGGGTTCTGTCAGTGTAGTTCTGCTTTATTTGGGAAACACACGCTCTTATATAAGAACAGTGAGCAGTCTCAAGCGGGGAATTCCAGGAAAGGAGGAGTACTAAGGACCAGTCATAATTAGGGTCAGGAATGCATGCGTTCTATACATCATCAGCACGCCTGCGGAAGCCACCTCCCATAGGCCAGGGGCAGGTGAACACGCGGTGCCCATGAGCACGGAAATGGCCCTGGCCAATGAGCCTTTCTTCAGAACAACTTGATCCCCGCCCTGATTCACATCCAGGACTCTCCTTTTGGTGCCATCTTGTCCACCTTGTGTAACCTAGTGACCTACTTGCCCTAGAGCCCCACAGAAGGGGGCCAGGGTGCTGATGGTGAGTTGGGCCTCCCCAACACTGTGTGTGGCAGAATAGAGCTAGGAGTCCTGGGATGCTGCCGTCTGCCAGAGGGTCTCTTGAGCGTGGGTGGGCATCTTCTCCCCATTTTATGGGTGACTCAGGTTGGCCCTCAGCCTGAGGACTGTACCTGCTCTAGGTCCTGGGGCTGTTAGAGACGCTGAGCAGACCCAACACACAGGACTCCACTCTGGCGTCCTTGTCTGGGTTCCTGTAGCACCCCAGGGGGCAGCTTGACCACCTCCCAGCATCCCCAGAGTTAAAAAGCTGAGGTTGCTTTGCAAAGACAGTAGCTTCCAGAGAAGACCCCTGAAGCCATGTTGTGGCACAGTGCTTAGTGTCTGTACACCAGCATCCCCTAGGGATGCCAGTTCGAGTCCCAGCCACTCCACTTCCAATCCCACTGCCTGCTAATGTGCCTGGGAAAGCAGCAGAAGATGACTCAAGTGCTTGGACTGCTGCACCTGCGTGAGAGACCCAGATGAAGTTCCAGGATTCTGGCTTTGGCCTGGCCCAATCCTGGCTGTTATAAGCCATTTGCAGAGTAAATTAGGAAACGGAAAATTTCTCCCTCCTTTTTGTAACTCAGTTTTTTCAAATAATAAATCTCAAAAAAAACAAAAGGAAAGATGGCAAAATCCCCACCTTGAACCCACTGCACCCAGGAAGGGGGTTTGCATTGGAGACGGAGTGTCTGACCAACTCAGATGTTTGTCTGGTCATTCCACACACACCCAAGTGCCCCTGCCAGGGGCAGCCAGCCCGTGTCCCACCCTGCACAGTGAGAGCAGGACCGAGTCAGCAAACCCTGTCCAGGAAGCTCGGGCTGCTGCAGGAGGTTGGCAGTTCCCTCTGCCTGGAGGAGTATAGAGGGCTTCCAGGAGGTGGTGGTGTCTCCTGAGCCGGTAGCCCGCAGTGTGTGGCGGGGAGCAGGTTCTGGGAATGGTGGCGGGTGCTTGAGGACACGGGAGCATCTGAGGACGTAGGGTGGCAGCAAGAGTGACAATTTGAGAGGCCCGAGGGACAGGTGGGCACCGCCCAGGATGAGGGATTCACAGCTGGGTAGTGTGAAGCCTGGAAAAGGGCTCTGGGAACCCCCATGATGGGGAGTGGGCTGCCCCTGTGACGGGGAGTAGGCTGTCTGGCAGTCCAGCATCAGGCACGGCCCTGCCACTTATGCACAGGCATGGAATTGCAGCTAGCCCTGTTTGGTCTGGATTCCTTCAGCCTCTCTTGTTGCCCCCTGGCTGCTCTGTTCTTGTGGGGGTGGGTCTCAGGTAGGGTCTGCAACAAGGAGACCCACAGACGTTGCCCTGTGGTTTCTGCTGTGTGTCTCGGACTTTCTCCTGCGCGTCGGGTTTGGGGAGCCTGAGTGGGTCTGGGGTTTGGCATCAAGAATAGGACCACCATGCAGGGCCTTGCTGAGCCTCATTTGTGAGCTAGGAGTGCAATGTGTGGGCCTGGGGAGCCCCAGAAGGTTTGTGGAAATGAGTTTGCCATGTACTTGCTGGGTGGCTTCTCCTGGGGGCTTTGTTCCTCCCCTGTTCTCCCAGAGAGGTGAGCTGGAGTTCCCAAGTCCTCAGCCATGTCCCCCATGATCAGCCAGAGCCCCGAGGAGGGCAGTAGAACAGGGAAGGCCGGAAGCGGGAGCATAGGCAGATGGCAGGGCGGTTGGAGGGAGCCACACTTGGCACCCAGACCGGAAGAACCAGCTGCCCAGGCCTGTGGGAGGGGCGGCAGAGCAGGGCAAGGGAGGCGCCTGGGCCACGTCCACCCTGCCCCCAGCCAAGACGGCAGGCAGGGTGTCAGGCTGGCTGCAGTGGGCACATGATCCCCAACCTTTCCACCCCCAGGCACCCACTCCTGTGCTGA